TTATAATTTACTATTTATATTATACATTATATTACTACTATTTATATTTTATATAAAATGCTTCAAAATACATTTTAAAATACTTTTTATATTATATTAAATTATATATTGATGTTAATATATAATTCATGTAATATTTAATATGTTTTATTATATAATATTTATCTATTTTAAAACGTAAACAATTTAAATTAATTGCATATAAAACTAACTATTTATAATTTATTTTATATCATACACTATATTACATTATTAAAATAATTGTTTACATTTCAAATTTAAATGACAAAATGTAATTTAAATAAATAAATAAATACCTCGAAAGTGATAAGATGTAAAGCCCTTGTGTTCGTACGTCATCAGTTGGCCTTGGAAGACCTTCAGGCTCTCTTCAGCATCCCTCCTCCTCTCTGCAGTTGTTAAACTGATTTGTATGTAATTACAAGGAGCGTGTGAATGTGAGACGACGTTTAAAAACTCAGATAATGACTTTTGCTTAGAGCAGCAGCAGTGATTGCGAGTGTATCTGCTCAAATTACTGGGCTCCTTCCGGCTGCAGGCAGGGCTGGGTCTGTGTCAGATGAATGCACAAAGAAGAAGGCCTATTCATTTTTTGTCTCGCAGTTTATGCGTCCTTGGACCCAACTGTGCATGAAGTTGAAGACCCAGCCCAGTGCTCTCTCTTACAGCTGGCTTTGCTTCAGAACTGGCCTCAGATCAGGGATTCAAGCGCTTAGTGCAAGAAAAATAATCGCGTATGAAGTCTGAGCGACTTCTATGGATGAAAAATCAAACTAGTTCTGTCAACCCCAATGTAACGAGATGTCTAGGTTAATAAACATGAAGACGGGCACGAATCAGCGGGTGAGCGCTTCACAATCAACAAAGGAAATTTCTTGGCAGCTGGAATATGTGCCTGGAGACTCGCGAACTTCCTCTCCTCAGGATTGAAGAATTCTTCCATCAATTTTCCACCCAAATTCAAGGATAGAATTACACTCCTCCCACTCGGGGGCGGAGCTACGCGGGCCGCTCCACCAATAGGAACGTTTCGCAGGTCAGTTTTTCTCAAAGGTGGTCACGACTGTCTCCATAGCAACGTAGGGATCATTCCACAGGTCGTTCACTTTTACAGTTCGGTGCTTCAGTGGAGTGAACGATAGCCAGTCCTGTTTAGTTGGCCAGATTTGAAGTGGGAGTGTGCCGAGCACACTTGAGCTGGCCAAAACAGCTGGAGGAAGAGAGAGAGAGACAGTGAGGGAGGGCAGATTGGGACGCTCAAAACTGAAAGCAAAGCAGAAACTAGAGCAAGATGGGATTTGACTGGCCGCTTGTGTTTTTGCGGACTCTTTGTAACCGAATATGATTTTATAACTCTTAAAATTACTTTGTAAGTTCGCATGTGGCTGCTGTGGAATATAGACAGCAGAAGGACGAAGGGAGGTAAGATGTTTGAAGAAGTGAATATTTCTATACTATTTATTGGTATGTTTAACTCTTATGCTTGATTTAATAGGCTAGAAATCGCTCTGTGAGCTTATTTTTATTCATTCACTTAAAATAGTCATGGCGCTAATTCATGGAAACTTCTAAAGTAAATATTTCTGCATTCTATTTATTTTTATGCTTGACTCTAGTCTAACAGGCATTTTATTGGCTAGAAATTGTTATTTGTTGGCATAATTATTTATTTATTTATTAAAAACTAATGGAACAAAATCAGGGATTTTTTTTATAGATGGGATTTTTTTTATATATCATATGATTTATATATATTTTTTATAATTATTTTTGATAAGTTACTTGGCTAGAAATTGCTCTTTTGAGCATAATTATTTTATTTTATTTTTTAAATTGAACAGAATCATAGAAAGTTTTAAAGTAAATATTTCTACATGCTATTTACTTTTTATGCTTGACTCTAGTATTCAATTTGCTTGAATTGCTCTTTGTGAGCATAATAATTATAAATATGTATATATATTTATAATATATAAATAATATTTATTTATTTACATTTTTAAAATCATGACCAGAATGTCCGGGAACCCTTACAAAAATTAATTCTATACCTTTTTGGCCCTCATTAATCCTCATGGAAGATTGGGCCAAGCAATAATACAAAAATAAAACCATCTCGAGATTAAACTTGTTAAATTTCAAGAAAAATGTAAAATGTCAATGCGAGAAAAAAAAACCCTGTTACATTTCGAGTAAGAAAGTCGAAATAAAATGTTGAGAATATGTTGAGTTTATTCTCAACATTTTATTTCAACTTTTTTTCTCGAAAAACTGTTTAATCTTGCATTATGACTTTAATCTCGAGATTTATTTTTTTAATTATTATTGCTAAGCCCTAATCCTCTTACTCATTGGTTGGTGTTTTTCCAAAACATATATCTTTCTATTTCTACCTCTGAAAATTACAATGTCATCAGTCAAATAGTATATTGCTGTATATTGCTCTCGTCATTGAACTAGATTTTGTTATAACTAGCAGCTTGAACTCTTTAATCATATTTGTGAAGGTTGATGTATGAAATATGGCCTTCTTAAAATTTGGGAAATGGTTTGTTAATATTTTAAAAACCTAATAAGTGATTAAAATTGCTTGTATTTTTCAATCTTGTGAGTGTGTTCAGACAGAATAACATCTGTGTATCCAAGTGTGAAGTACCGGGAGGGTGTCCTAATTAAGAGAGGACCAATTAAATCAAATTAATCTCCCAGAAAAATCACTCGTTTGTGAATTTACCTCAGAGAAAACTTGCTTGTCTATCCTGGTCTGTCATATGCTATGTGCACACCATAACCTAACTACACTGCAGTAAGGTTTATTAAATCAAAGTTAAGAGCATTCAGATGTTAGTTTGACTACATTGTGCTTTGTTAAATGATGATTGGAGGTTTAAAAGCAGGATAGTGCTCTTAAGCCGAAAGCTAAAAGGGAGATAATGTGTCACCAAGCCCTACATTATTCTCAGAACAGGTTAGTGTGTTGTATTGGTTCCTGGTGAAACTATTTGTTCTACATCAGTGGCATTAGTGGTTAGTAGAGCAGATTAAACTTATTTGTTACACTAAAATATTCATTATTACTTTCCCTCAGCCTTGGGAAAATCCAGTTTCAATGCCACAATGACATACTAGCAGTTGTTTGTGGCTAAAATATATATATTTTTAATTCTGTGGTCAAGCTCTGGCCCAAGCTGTTTGGAAAGAATAAAAAATGCAAAAGTCTTTTTGTCAAAAAAAAAAGAAGGAAAAAAAAGTGATTTATCAAAAATTCAGTTAAATGAATAATGTGCTTTCCACTGGTCTGCGGACAGTTAAACCGCTGTGGTTACTAATGGCCTTAAAAAGACAGTTTAAAATGCCAAATACAGCATATCATGCAGTAAGTGATGCTGGCTAATGAAGGCCTGTTTTCACACAAGTATTTCCCGCAATTCATGTTAAGTGTCACTCAAAAATGCTAAATCTATCACTAAATTCTATGCACTGAAAAACTCGTATTCTTAATAAATATTTTTTTATCTTGTCTTTTAAATAAAAATCTGTAAAAATCATAAAAAAGGCCTTGAGAAAAGATTTAGTTGAGAAGTGACACTGACTTTTTTTTAGATTTTTTTTTCACATTTAAATGATAAACATGTTAAAACAAGAGCAGAGACCATCTTTGAAAGCAATTTATAAATACAAATACATAACTTAAAGGTTTGTTTTCTTTCAGTCAGAACACTGCAGATTAAAATAAAGTGATTAAAAAGTTTTAAAAAGTGTGAAACAGATCTGCAATTCATCATTTATCCAATCAATATGCAGTAAGAAAAAAATAAACTTGAATTATTAAATATACTTTATCTGAAAACTTAATATTTTATCCAGTGTTGTATTGATACTTCTTGAGTAACTGTATATTGTTTAAAAGAAAAGACAAAACTGTAGGGCTTTTATTTCATAAACAAAACATTTACTTTAATCATGTAAACATTGGGTTTCATTTAATAACCATGCGTACGCACAAATTTGTGCTTGAAATCTGCGTACAAGCATTTTCATGAACAAACTATGAATCACCAAAAACTTTTTAAAGGTTGGCTAAAGGAAAGGTTGTGTGGAGAGGGTTTGGGTATGTTTTAGGCAAATTGCTTATTTAGAATATTCCAAATTCATTAAAATTACAATGATGTTAAGAACAAATGTGCATAAGCACGTGTTGTAAATTAGGAGGAATTTTTTTCATGAGAACTTCTCCTGTGTGTACGATTACGAATAATCCACGCAGTTATTAGTGAATGAGACCTAACTTGTTTCTTTCTGTCCCATCAGCCACCACAATGCTCCACTGACTCTCTGTTTCAACCATGGAGGACGCAGTGACCTCTGAGGATGCTGAACCCCTCCCTGCCACCTCCCAAAACACTGACATCCACCTCGGTGAGCCAGAGGATGAGTGTCCTTCCAGCGCCAGCCTGGAGCCCAGCTCCCCGTCCTCGCCTTTCAATCAGCAAGCTCAAGGCTCTGCCGTATCGGCGCTGCAGTCCAAGGTCAAGGCTCTCTCTGAACGCAGAGTTGTCTGGAAAGAACCTGGAAGTAAGAACCAGGACAAACGAGTGGTTCCCGGGACCTTCATACTGGGATACGCCCTCACGGACGCTTGGGGCTCCAGCAGCAGCGATGAAGACGGGGAACCTCGCAAGCCCCTGATGTTCCTTGCAGGAGACCACAAGCCTCAGGTAGAACTCGACTACGATCCCGTCTCTTCCGAAGCCTTGCTGGCAGTTCCACACGGCCTTGGAGAAGGAGCAGGCCTGGAGAACCTCTCGAACGATGCTTGCGGTTCTCAAGACGATGCTTCTCCATCTAATAAACCATGGATGCCACCGAAGTGTTTCTGGAGGTCCATCAGACCAGAGATGCCGGTTCTAAATGGGAATGTTCCTGTGGGGAAAGATGGACCAAATGGAGGAACCTTTGGCCACAAAATGGGCCACAAGTTTCCAAGGGAACTGCAAAGGTTTGATAGCCTGGAGAGTCACCTACACAGGTACAATCACGGTGAGGTGGGACAATGTGGACTCTGGCGGGCTGACAGCTTGGAGAGCATGTGCAGCAGTGAAAGCTCGCTGTCCCTGGCCGAGAGGGTCGAGATGAACCGCGGCCTCCTCAAACAGATGCTGCAGAAAACCCAGAACAAAGACCATGTACCAGGACAGAGGATAGAGGACTCGACGCACATTAGCGGTAGAGGTAAGGAGATCCATTACAGTGGGTAAATGACATGACACTCGTTTTTTTTTTTTGGAACTCTTGCTTTTTTCAAAAATAAAAAATTCTAGGGTGGTATGACTGTTCTGATATAACAATGAATAAAAAGCCTATGAAAAAAACAAAAACTATGAAATTATTATATAAGTAATAAATATGATTTATATTAATTAAATATAAGTAATTATTATTATTATTATTAATTAATTTTTATATTATTAAACACTTTTACTAAATCACTTTTTAATCACTTTCATATTACACTTTCATAATCATATTAATCACATTTTGTTCTTTTATTTTTACAAAACCGATTAACTCTCATTACTCAATAATGGTAATTGAAAAATGTTTGCTCGCCAAATCAAAGTCATGCAGAAAAAACAAAGCATAAAACAGGAAGTGACATCATAGAGGACCCCTGCAGAGCCTCGTGACTGTGTAAACTATTAAATTTGACCTTTTTATTTTTACAGTCAGTCCAGGTTGTAGAATGTCATGTGGTGCGACTCCCCAAAAAACTTAATGATATATCAGTTAATAATTAACAATGTTTGTAAAAAAAAAAAAAACATTTAATATTATGTTATATTATTATTTTTACAACAAAAAGATGTGTATGTTATTAATTGTTATTAGATATTGACACCACATGACAGTTTTAAAGTAATTAAGTAGAAACCTCTCTTTCAAAATCATATGTAAACATGAATACAAAAATACTTTTTATTTTTACATTTTTTAAAATAGTTTATTAAAAAATAATAATTAAGGTTTGTATGTTTTTAATTGTTACTAGATGGTGACACCACATGGCATGTTTAGAATAATTAAACTGATCTTCTTTTTGAAAATGCTATAAAAAAAAATATCTTATTAAAAAATATATTGATTAAAATAATATATAATAATATATTAAAAATCATATTAAAAAACAAACACATTTTTAAGAACCTGGCATATGCGTTTCAAACTTGGCTCAAAATCGTCCATCTTGTTTCCGGAAGCTGATATGTAATCTGCCTTATCTGATGTAACATAGTGTACAATATAATGCGTAGCAGCGCTAATCCAATGTTATCAGACAGGTGTTAAATGCCGTTAGCGCATGTCTGATGAGATGACATTGTCTCCTTTAGCAAGTTTAAGGATTACACACAATGATCGCACATGGCCTCCCTAATGAAGCAGAGGTCATATAGACGAGAGAGCTGGTTAATCCAGATATGAGGGGACAGAAGGATAAGAATGAGAATTACACTGATTAAAAACAACTCAGAGTAACAGTGATAAAGCCTGTGAGATGGGAAAACGGAGACGGTGTGATTTGTTCGCTTGTTTTTTCTCACTTTTGAAGCACCAGATGTTGACACAAACATGATGACCTTGTCACGTTAAGTGAGATAAACAACTGGCTTTTAGCTGTCAGGCAAACACAGTTCACTCCACTTGAAGTAGATGCTGCAGTAGTGAAACTGTGGATGGCGTAGAGTATTGGTCATGGTGGTCAAAGCAGGGAAAAATGCATAAAACATTTTAAAATTAGTATATTTTATTTATTTATTTTATATATATTTAATATTAAGTCATTATTAATTAGGGAGGTCATAACCCTTGTAATCTACACCCTGAGTGTCTCTGTTTCTACAGGTATCTGTGGCCTGAATGACAGTGATTGGGATTCTGGGATTTCGCTCCAAGGTAGTGAACACAGCCAAAGGTGGGCAGCACAGATTGATGCTCTCACAATTATCTCACACACACACACACACACACACACAGACAGACACACACGC